GTATTTTCCATGTGACCTCCTCCACTTTCCTTTCAACCAAATCATGTGCGTGCGTATCATGTGACTTTGTCATGTGGCTTGCATGGTGCTGCTGATGTCGTCCTCGCTGGTGAACAGAAGGTAAAACACTTTGTTCTGATTGGTTGCCTAGATTTGGGGTGAGGACTCCCCTCTGGTCGCCGACCGGGGAGCTCCAAATTCCGTCACTCCACAAATCCTCCCACGAGCCCCTTTGGAGAAGTTGCTCATCACTTTGTCTGCATGTGAAGGACTCAACTTCTGCATTAACTCCACCTCAGTCTCCTGCACTGAGCTTGGAAAAAGCCTGGAGGGAAAACAAAAAAAAAAAACAAGGCAAAAATCCCCTGGCTCGGTCATTTGCTTCTTCACTGTCAGAGTCCAGCAAGGAGCTGCCCAGGAAGGTTCTGGAACACTCTCTGGAATGAACACCAGTGGCCAGAATCCCTTTGCCCCTCAGGGTACCAACCACAGGCTGGTATTTGATGGGGAGTTGTGGCAACACCACCTCTCCTGTGGCTTTAGCAGCATTTTGCCCCTGTACAACACACATTTATGGAGGTGTGTATATATATATATATATATGTATGAATATGTATATATACACACACATTCACACTGCACATGCTTAGCAGCCTTCCAAAAGAATCCTAATTCTCTGTCTCTGAGATCTAGTTATTGGGAATATATGTCACATTGAGATTTAAGACATAATCTTTTCTATTGTGAGTCAAACTTTAGCACAGCTGGAATGGGAGCTCTGCTATAAAATACTGTATATATACACTATAATATAGATATAATGCCATCTGTAGTATATATACTGTAAAATAGCCCACCCAGAGTTCATGATGGGAGCTCCACCTCACACAGTTTCCATCAGAGGTGCTGTTGCATCTTTCTTGCTGCTCCACCCCTGGAGTATCTGGGAGCCTGGCAAGGATTTAACCCAAATTCATGTCACAGTAGCTGCTGATCTCCATGAAATCAAGAAGCAAATGACTGACCCCTGCAGCTTCTGGAGCTGGAATCAGCCTCCAAGTGAAGTGTGTGGCAGTGACAACAGTTCCTGCAGCGTTGGGATTTTTACAACTTTGCTTCATGCCCTGCATAACCTGAAGGGGAGGAGGGAGGGAAACTCTTCTGCTGCCCCAGCTCAACAAGGGACTGTGAAAACCAGGAAGCAATTGGCTTTTTTTTCAACCTGTGAATTCTGAGCTCACCTTATTGTCTTGGACAATCCAGGAAAGGATTTAGGCTGGGGTTTGCCAGGAAAACAGAACTAACACCAGTAACCTTCCCACATGACTGCATGCACAGAGGAAACCCCTCTTCCCTGGGTCTCTGCCCTCTCTGGTTGGACTCCAGGAGGGTTGAAGACTTGGTTGTCTCGTTTTTGCATGTTTTTTGTTCCTTCTTTTTGACTGTTGGTGTTTTGCTTCTCTTGTGTGCATTCTGAAACCTCCTGAGCTGTTCTTTCTCTGTATTTACCACTCGTGGAGACTTTCCCTGGTGTCTCTTTCCAGTTGTGACTCCTCAGGTCACAATCTACTCCTGTTTACACAATGGTCAGAGATTGCAGAAATCAGCTCCTTCCTTGTTCCTGTGTGGCAGAAATTACCCTCAACAGCAGTTTGTACTCTCTAAGCACAGCAAGGATGCAGGATCTTTCCTTGGTGCCAGCTGGACGAGGATTTAAGCTCAGCCTAAATAGTGCTGCAGTGTCTGGTGGCCAGTTTGAGCTGCTTTCCCAGGTGGGCAGAGGAGAGGTGTGATAAAAGGTGTCTCGCCTGCACTGCTGTCACTTCTGGGGTCCAGCACACACTGAGTGCCCGGGGACCAGGGAGAAGTTTGTGCTGATTTTTTTCATATTCTCCCCCCACCTGAAGTTTTCCTGCACTCCTGGTGCTTGTGGCACCCTCTGAAAACCAAGGAATAATAATAAAACCAGCTGCTGAAACCCAACTCCATCAGGCTGGTAGTAGGTCAAGGAAGCACTGAATGTAAACTGAACAGTGCAAGGGTACCAGGAGCCCTTTACTGCTGCCCTGCAGCAGGAGATTATTGGTGCTGATGGCTTAGCAGGAGTGGATAAAAACCCATTTGGAAGCGTAAGAGCACTGTCCTCAGCTCGCCTCACACCATGTGTGGGAGCCAGCAGGGAGTGATTCAGCCTTTGGGAGCCTGCAGGAAAGTCCTGATTTCATGTACAGATGAGATTCATTCTGAGTTACCTCTGGAGCCCAGGGAAGGGCTGTCTGAGCTTCCCTCGGGATGTGTGCCCTGCCAGGGCAGTGCCAGCATCGCTGACCCCTCCTGGAGGGACAGTCCTGCTTCCTCAGCACAGCCAAGCACTGGAGGGCTCCTTTCTCAGAGTCAAAGGAGGGCACATCTCTTGGCTTCTCCCACAGGTTGAAGCACTATTTGGATTGCTTTTGTCCTGGAGAGTGTCCTGTGGGTGAAGTTGGGCTCAGGCTGGATCCCCCAGCAGTGTGGAAGCACAGGGTCCTGCATCCCTGCTCCTGCAGCAGAGGGAGTTTGAAGCAGATGTTTGGAAAATGAGGATCCAGAGGAAGTCTGGCGTGTCTGGAGCTGGTGGCTCTCACTGAGCCCCAGGGGGATTCCTCAAGGACCCCACATTCTGTGGAATGTTAAGGCTGGAAAATGCCCCTGAGGAGGGTGGAAGGGGCAGATTTCTGCAACGTGCCCAGCGAGCTGGGTGTGAGTGGGAGCTCCCCAGGCATGAGGCCCCCCCTGTAATGCTCTTTGCCTTTCAGCCCCGGGCTGGAGGGAGGATGCATGTCTGTGAGCATGAGCTGCTTCTCTAACCTGCTGGTGACAGCCTTCTCTCTTCAGCTACTGACATCTTCACTCATCACGGGGCTGCTGATTCTGCTGGACTAAACTCTTCCCACTAAACTTCTTCCTCCTTTGTTTGACACACTAACCCAGTTTTCATTTTACAGCCCCGTTGTATCTGGATTACATCCACTTGCTTAAGGGAAATGAAATGCCATGTAATTATGGAGAGAAAGCTGAGGTATTTTCAGCAGGGCTTGCACTGCTCCTCCTGCTGGGTGTCAGCCCTGAGGAGTGCTCAGTGTTCTCCTCTTTGAACAGAATAGTTTCTCAGGGCAGAAGGGAATTTAGGTATTGGGGAAGGAAGGAATCAGGAGTTAGAAATCAGGCAATTCAAAGTGAAGAAAAGGTTCAGCAGAGAAGGTAATTAATCATGGGAATGGCTGTGTATAAAGAGCAGCAGCATCTCTGACATTTAAAATCAAGAACGAGCATCTTTTCAAAGGATGTTCCTCTTAGTCTTGGTGCTCAGTCACCGGAAAAAAAGATCTATCCTGTGTTAGATAAAAGGTCAAATTCTGTAAGTACAGTGTTCCCTTATCACTCCAGATTCTCTTTACTTATTGCTCATTATCTCCCTGAGGTGAGGGTGGCAAAGAGCCCCGAGGAGATGCTGATCCTGCCCTGCCCAGCTGGCAGTGACCCATTGCTCACACCTGCAGAATTGCTGCTCAGGAATGGCTCAGCCCAGGCTCAGTGGCCAGGAATTGTTCCCAGTTGTTACTGGGAGCTGGTTTCTTGTGTAAAAAAAACCTAGACATTTGGGTTTGTTTAATTACTGGTGAATAATCAGTGTTGTTGCAGAGTAGCTTCTTAACTCAGTGGTCAAAACCTGTAACTTTGTGGTGATGTTTTTCTTTTAGGATTGAGGAAAGAAAAAAAATATATAATTGCTTGGTTAATCTGATGTGTCCCAGGGTGGAATCCAGCTCTGGAGTGTCCAGCTTCTATGGGGGAGCCTTGTAAGGGGGGCATAGGCAGAGCAAGGGTTTGGAAAAGCAAAATAAAACCTGGGAAAAGGGAGCATTGCCTCTGTACATCTTTAACAGAAGTTGCTGTGTTGTGAAACACAATTGTGTGTGTCTCACATGGGGGTATCCATGGGTGGTAATTGCCTTCTGGGAGCAGCTGGGATGTTAGAGCATGTGAGAGTGTGCAAGAAAATGGAATTAATCTTAAATTACTGTGTCAGTCCAGGTCTCGCAGTTTTCTCATTGATGTTTCACCAAACAAAATGTGCTCAAATCCTTTCTTTGGCCAGGAATGGGGAGGGGGAAGGGTTTCAGATTACTGATGAAGATCAACTTCTGAATTATATTGGAAGATTAACTTTTCTCTGACCAGTCAGAAATGCATGTGCTTTCCATTAGGAGCTGAATACAAATCCAGACAGAACAGATTTAGAATTGAGGATGGGTTTTGGGTTGATCTTAGTACAACTGGCTTATTATTTCCTTTCACTTTTAGTAGTATTGAATAGAAAGAAGTCTTTTAAAAAAGTTTTATTCTCAGCAGCAGGCTGAGCTTTAAAAAAAGTCACAAATGTTACTTCAGCATCCAATTTGGATCTCATTTGCTCCTCCTGAGGTCGCAGATCTCACTGTTGCAGAGTTCTGGTGTCGTTCCCTGTGGGATACCTTGAGAGCTGGATCATTTGTGAGCTGTATTTCACCTCACTTTGGTGTATCTGGGAGTGTGTGTTCAGGAATAACGTCCCTTTTCAGTGATGCTCTTTAGATCCACGTCCCACAGGAGCAGCCTGGTTACCACATCCCCCACCTTGGTGTTTTCGGGGTGTTCCACATCAGGTTTTGCAGCAGAAGTAGAGAGGATGTATCTGGTCATGGCTCCAGGATATTCCTGGGGAGGGGGGGGGCCTTTGTCACTCAGCCTCTGCTTCCAGCACCCACAAAAATGGGAACTTGTGCTGGTGAAACAAACTGCCCAGTGCAGGGAATCCTTGGCTCTGGCAGATATTTGTGCCCCAGACACACAGAGTGTCGGGGTCAGGATGGCTCTGATGCCCTCAGGGTAATGAACTATTCCTCTGAGTTTTGAGCACTTTTTCCCCCAATGGTTTTTTTTTTTTTAACAAACCAACCTAAATCCCCCCCTTGTTCCAGGGGAACCCAGCGCTCCCAAGCTGGAAGGGCACATAGGAGAGGATGGGAACTCCATCAAAGTGAACGTCATCAAGCAGGACGACGGCGGCTCCCCCATCAGACACTACCTGATCAAGTACAAAGCTGTGAGTATGACCCCCCCGCCTGTCCCCTGCCCCCTGGGCAGGCACACAGCCCTAAAGCTGGGATCTGCTAGGCCAGGCCGGGCTGGGAATGGAATGGGGGTGGTCAATCAGGCCAGAGCTGTGTTAAGAGGTAAATCTGTGGCACTCAAATGATTTAAATTTGACGTGCTAAGATAGGTAAGAACACTCTTAAAGTGCTTTGTGAGGTGGAGAAGCTGCAGCTTTTACCCCCCTGAAAGTGGTCTAATGATGGGGCAAAGATGAGAGGAGGAAATGAGGGATTTTCTTTGGGTGTGGTAATTCAGAAACCAGGATTCTGGGCAGGAAAGAGGCTGTTTTGGTCTCATCCTTTCCACTTAGAGAGGATGTTTTCACAGAATAGCTGGGGTTGGAAGGGACCTCTGGAGATCATCCAGTCCGAGGCAGGGTCACCTGGAGCAGGTGGCACAGGAACACATCCAGGTGGGTTTGGAATGTCTCCAGAGAGGGAGACTCCACGCCCTCCCTGGGCAGCTCTTCCAGGCTCTGCCCCCCTCCAGGGAAAGAAGTTCTTCCTCATGTTGAGGTGAAACTTGTGCTCTGGTTTATGGCCACTGGGCACCACTGGGAGGAGTCTGGGACCATCCTCTGAGCCCCCTGGGAGCTGTTTGTGTGGACTGATGGGACACAGATGTGATGCTGTGCCCTAGCTGAGGGACACAGATGTGATGCTCTGCCCTGGCTGAGGGACACAGATGTGATGCTGTGCCCTGGCTGAGGGACACAGATGTGATGCTGTGCCCTAGCTGAGGGACACAGATGTGATGCTCTGCCCTAGCTGAGGGACACAGATGTGATGCTGTGCCCTAGCTGAGGGACACAGATGTGATGCTGTGCCATAGCTGAGGGACACAGATGTGATGCTGTGCCCTAGCTGAGGGACACAGATGTGATGCTGTGCCCTAGCTGAGGGACACAGATGTGATGCTGTGCCATAGCTGAGGGACACAGATGTGATGCTGTGCCCTAGCTGAGGAACACAGATGTGATGCTGTGCCCTAGCTGAGGGCTGCCTGCTGGTGCTGCAGCCTCCTGTCCCCATGCCCAGCCCCCTGAGAGCTGTGCAGGCTGGCTGCTGACCCGGGGCTGTGTCTCCTGCCTGTCCCTGCCCTGCAGAAGCATTCCTCGGAGTGGAAGCCGGAGATCAGGCTCCCGTCGGGCAGCGACCACGTGATGCTGAAGTCCCTGGACTGGAACGCCGACTACGAGGTCTATGTGGTGGCAGAGAACCAGCAGGGCAAGTCCAAACCCGCCCACTACGCCTTCAGGACGTCTGCCCAGCCCACTGTCATCCCAGGTACGCCCGGCACAGCTTTTTGTTGTTTTCTGCTTCCAATTAATGCACCGGTGCTGCCTCCTTTAATGTGCCTGAGTAACCCTGAGACTCGCTTGCTTCCAGCCCATCGATCACGGTTGGTTCCCCATCCAAAGCTTAGTTCTGGCCTGAGTGTACATACCTGTGCTCCGTGTTCCAGTATGTACAGCAGGGAGTGCTCCTGACAACCCCCTGCCTCACTGTTCCCAGGGAGTGTTGGCTTTCTGTGGGTCAGGATTTGCCAGATGAGACTTTCTCTGGGCTCAGAAAGTGGGGGTCCCGTTTTAAACTCTTTCTATCTGTGGGGCAATCTGCAATCACAACGCAGGTTCCCCCCCCAGATCTGCTCTGGGCTTGCTTTTACTGCTTGTTTGTCCATCCAGCTCAGCCTTTGGAGGAATAAAGGCATAAGGAGGTTTGCCAGTGGTTGGGAAAGGAGACAGTGAAAATCTCTTTATTAAATGAAATGGAGATCAAATGATCAAATTACAGTAATTTTCAAACAGCACCTGCTTAATGTTGGGGAGGGAATTAGGAAAAAGTCACTAAAACAAATTATTAGAATGCTGCTGGAAGCTCTTGTTTCAGACAGACTTTACTCATTAGTGTGCTTAAAAAGTGAGGTTTAAGGTCAATTGCTGTGAAAACCAAGCAGAACTATCAGCTGGGCTGCAGGAACTGAGCAGTTTGCAAGGTGTGGAAAGGCCAGTCAGAATTTCTTCTCTACACGAGGACATCTGAAAAAAAAAAATGAGTGGGAGAAACCCACACAAAGCAACCAAAACCTCAGGATGGAATTGCTGGGCTACCTGTACATGAAAGTTGTGCCGGTTAAAGGCAGGGGAGTTTTAAAGATCTCCTGAGCCAGGTCCTCACTGCACAGCCAGAGTTCCTGCCAGGGTTGGTGCTGACAGTCCACGCTGAGGGGAACGATTTGATTCCATTCCATCTTCCAGATGAACTCAGTCTCGTGTTTTTTTCTTCAGAACAACTGTTTTCTTTCCCTTGCCCTGAGAACTCAGCCCTTGCTCTGCCCCCTCCTTTGCCCCCTCCCTGCCTGGCTGAAGGGAACAGCTGAGACCTTGTGCAGTGTGGAGGCTGAAATCCCTGGTTAAGGCACAGGATGATTGTTAAGCATACAAATGAGTGACCCAGCTGGGCTGGGCTTGGGCAGCGTGCGTGGTAGGGAGGAGGAGGAGGGAAACAGGGCCAGAGAGAGGCTGGGGGGGCCGTTTGAACAAGGCTGGAGTTTTGGGTGGAAGAACCCTCAGTAACTCATTAAGCAACTTACTCTCTGATTCTCATTTCCAACAGCTCTAATACTGACTCCCCTCACCCATTTGAAGGACAACTGTGGCTGGTGTGGCAGCAGAGGGTGAGGGTGGTTTGGCAGAGGGTGCCCTGAGGTCAGTTCAGAGCTGAGCAGCCAAGCCCCGAGGTTGGGACAGCAGTGAGTGGTTCCTTTGCCCTGGGATGTGTCTCCCCAGTTAAGTCACGAGCACTGATCAGTCTTTCTGTTCCACCACAGTCCTCTGTGTGCAACCACTGCTGATTTCTTGTGCTGGTGTTTTATTTTAGCCTTTGTCACGTGCCCGATGGGACAACAAAGCTCCTGGGACAGCTGGGAGGGGCCTCAGCAAAGTCTGGGAGTGCTGTTGGCTCTGGAGCACACAGGGATAAAGTCTGGGAGTGCTGTTGGCTCTGGAGCACACAGGGATAAAGTCTGGGAGTGCTGTTGGCTCTGGAGCACACAGGGATGTGCTGTAGTCCAAGGCAATGGGAGGTGTAACGAGCTCAGATGCCACTGAGCCCTTTAAATCCAACGGTAACATGGGCAGGGACCCTCTGAAAAACGGGCAGAAAAGCCCAGTTTGTTATCAAAGGTGAACGTGCTTTGTCCTCTCTGGAGTTTCCCCTCCCTTAGTCTGGTGTGGAGCGCAGGAGGAACCAGGATTCGAGGCTGCTGCTCAAATGTTGCACTTGGAAGTGTCAGAAGCACTGGGAAGAGCAGTTTTTGGGAGTGCAGATGTGCTGCAGGATTGCCCCAGCAGCTGGATGCAGCTGTTCCTCAGAAGGTGCTGGCAGAGCCCTGAGCAGTGACGTGATCAGAGCTGGCTTTGGGGCTCTGTCTCTCGGGGTTTTTGCCATTTTGGCCTTGCAAGGTGTTTCCAGACCCTTTGGTTCCCTGAGCTGATCCCCAAACTAACAGCATGAAGGAGAATATTTTCAGGGAGCAGGTTTTCTGCTGGCTCTAGTGCCAGCCTGCAGCAGGGCAGGGGCTCTGGGTGTTCCTTCCCTTCCTCTTTTTGTTTTCCTGGCATTTTGCTTTTCCAGTTTGATTTCAAAAGGAGCAACCCAGGGCAAGTCAGAGCCAGTGCCTCTCACATGGCTTTGGCAGCAACAGCTGGGAATTCCCTGCAGACCAGATGTGTGTTTATTTATCATGGAGAGCCCTTTGTTACCATCCTCTCACAGTGTGGCTGGAAGGAGAAGGGCACTGTTTTCAGTAATAATAATAACAGTAATTGCACTGCAGTGGTTCACAGGCAGCTGAAGGGAACAGTCAGTGTATTCCTGAGACCTTGGTGCTTCCTCAGGGTTTTAGTCACCTGGATATATCCGAGTCCAGGCTTTGGGGCAGGGCTTGGCCAGGCAGGTGGATTGTCTGCTCCACAAAAGCTTTTCTTTCCTTTATTTTGTCGGTGTAAAAGGCAGCGTTGTCCTTTCAAATACCAGATAACCACTTCCTTGTGTTTCTTGCTGAGCCTTCTGTTCCATCAGTCTTAATCTCATTTGCTTGCAAACCCCTCAGCCCTGCCTTGGACCCTGCTCTGCAGCTTTGGGCTTTGCTGAGCTTCTGCCCCAGCCCTTTTGTCGTGAATGTGCTGATCCTTGAACCCCTTGAGCCATTTTAATTTACGAAATTAAATAGACCTTGGATTCTTATGTTTTCTATATTTATGACCTAATTTTTTTTATCTATTTTTCTCTCTTTCTCTCTCTCTCTTTCTTTCTTTTTTTCTTCCTCCTCCTTTCTTCCCTCCCCTCTCCCTTTTTCCCCCCCCTTACCCTTTCCTATGTCTGTCGTCATACATGTCACCTTGGATCTCACGGGACACATCCACGCTTGCCACATGCACCAAATTTGTTTTTAAACAACCATATTTTCCCCTCCTGGGAACCATTGTCTGGCACCTGCAGCGACCTTGGGAAGTCCATCAACGTCGTCCTCCTTTGTTTCATTGCTTCTCTCTGCAGTGACTCTGCTTTTGCTCTGTTAGAAACTTAAAAAAGAAAATGAAATAAAGCAATATTTGCTTGAAAAGGTCCCACCAAGGTGTGAAAGCAGATAACTTTCCTTCAGAGGATCATGTCAGTTCAGAGAAAAAAAAAAAAGAAACAAACACAGAACACTTTAAAAAAATGTTTAATTTGAAAGAGTCAGTATTTTGTAACAAGGAAAAAAAGGTTTAAGCCGAGTTTTTTCTCTTTAACATTTTTTTTTGTTACTTGTAATGAATTTGCCCTTTTTAATGGATGTAAAGAAAGAATTTTTTTTGGTGTTGTTTGCTTGCTCTTTTCATCAAAGGAAGGTACAATGGTGAAAGCCTTTAAGATTCTGCTTTTTACTGATTTCTCTGCACATCTGGTGCTGACCATCACTGTCTTGTGCAAAAAGCTTTCTAAAGGCCCAGCCACGAGTCTGAACCTGCAGATTATAAAGAGAAACAGAAGATTTGTCTGAGACCATCCTGCTGCTTGCCCGAGGGTCTCGGGGGGCTTTGGCTCGTGGACTCCCAGTTGTGGCCAGCGGAAGGTTCCCCTGAGGTGCTGAGGAGGAACCTGTGGTGGGAATCACACTGAGGAAATTCCTGTTTCCATTCCCCCTGGCCCTGAACCCCTGGGAGCACCCTGGCCCTGAACCCCTGGGAGCACCCTGGCCCTGGGGTGCAGGCAGAGCTGGGCACGAGGCAGCCCCTGACCCCCAGAGCTGCACTGGATGCTTGTCTAACACCTCCTGGTCCCCACTGCTGCATTCCCACCCTCACAGAGATCCCCTTCCTTGCCACTTTAACAGAAAAGCTTAGTTACCTGCCCAGCTAAATTATTATTATTATTATAACTACTGATCCTCCATACTACTGCTGGTTAACTGTGCATGTGACACTGCCAGGCAGGGTTATTAATCCACACTGTGAACTGGTGCAATAGGAGCATCTTTGCTGCCAACTGCTGGGTGTTGCATTTCTGCATTTGAGCAAATTCCAGGTGACTTTTTTTCCTTTGCTCCTTACTTTTAAAAAAAAAAAACCAAGCACCATGCCCCCCCCCCCCAAAAAAAAAACCACACCAAAAAATCCAACCCAACACCAAACCCAGTGCCCCTCATGAATTTTCTTGGTGATGGGAAATCCCTTTGGCTCTCATGCTCTTCTGTAAATGGGGTCTCTCCTTTCTGAGTGGGGCTGAGGTGGCCAGGGATGAAATTGTTGACTCAGTTGTTGAACTGTCTGTACAGAATGTCTCAAATGCTCTTGGCTGGATGGGATTAATCTCTCTAACAGAATCCTTTTAGGGACAAACAAAACCCTGCCCGCAGTCGTTTTCTGCTCTGCACATAAATCTCTGCTGTGTTTATTCAGACCTTGTTCATCATGATTTGTGAACTGCTTTTCTATCTAAATTATAAATGAAAAACTTGGTGCAGGTGTCGCACATAAAAGCCTGTGGATTTCTCTTTTTTTTTTTTTTTTAGAAAACCCTCATTTTCAGTGTTTTAGAGCGTAGAGAACGTGTTACATCTTCTGAGTTTACACCTTAGTGGTACTGAAAAGTAAATCACTGTGAAGTGATTACAGCAAAGTAATCATAATACTAAAAAGTGGTGTGATTTCCCCTATAACTGAGCTAATCAAGGTCATTTGTAGATCTGCTGTCAGCTCTCTGTGGGTCTCCCCTCCTCTGCAGAGGGAGGTTGTTAGCTGAGGCTGAGATGGATCTCACCCAAGTCACAGTTATTAAAATTACCTTGGATAAACTCTAACTTGACAGTGTGGTGTGGAGAGAGAGCAGCTCTGGGGAGGTTGTTCTGGCCGAGGAGAGGTGCCTTGGGCAGGGGGGGTTTGAGGGGCTCCTCTGCCAGACTGGCAGGTGAGAGAGCGTTTCTGTGGCTGAAGTTACTTAGAATTAATCTCCTATTCAAGAGCAAACAGGAGTCTGGTCAGCATGGAATATATGCAGGAAGGGCTTCTTTCTCTTGGAAAGCTGAGGGGTTTGGGGTGACCTGCTGGTGGCCTGGAGGGGCTGCAGGGAAGGTGCAGAGACAAGAGTGGCAGAGCCCAGGGAATGGCTTCCCTCTGCCAGAGGGCAGGGTTGGTGGGATGTTGGGAAGGAGGAATTCCTGGCTGGGAGGGTGGGAGGCCCTGGCACAGGTTGCCCAGAGGAGCTGTGGCTGTGTCTGGATCCCTGGAAGTGTCCAAGGCCAGGCTGGAACAACCTGGGCTGGTGGAAGGTTTGAGAGCAGGAGGCTGTAAAACCCCTCACCCCTCCTTCCAGGGACACTCAGATCAAAGCTGTTGGCATCCACGGAGAACAAAGAGCTTCTCTCCTGGGTTCTGGGGGTTTTTGGGTGGGTTGTTTTTTTTTTTCTGATGCATGAAATGAATTTTTATTTGTTTTATTTGTACTCCTTTCTCTTGCCAAATACTGTGGGACTTGTGAAATGCCTGGAATCATACCTGCTCCTCTCCATCCCTTTCTGTCTCCTTGTCTGCCTGTGCCTGAACATTCCCTAGCTGAGACCCCACTAGGAAGACACAGCTGAGCTCTCTCTGGCAGTGTCTGTACAGCTGAGCTGCAGAAAGGAAAATCCGTGGGTCATTTTGTTGTACACTGTAAAATGAGGGTGTTAGAAAAGTCAGTCTTGCAGGAAGCTCATTTTCCATTGGAAAAAAAATTAATTTGTAATTAATAAATTCTTCACTTCTTTAGAATTAAGGACTCCAGAAGTTTTTTAATGTTCTGTGTTTCCTTATTTAACTTGTGGAAATGTTATTCCTCCTAGTCCTGAGAATAGCAAAAGAGGATTAATGGAAAGGTTGAATGTGCTCTGGATCAGGTCAGAAATGTCCAACATCTATTTATTACATGTCCTCTCATACACAGTGTGAGCAGCTGGTGCTCAACAGTGACTATTTATTTATACATTTCTTTTCTACACAGAATTGTTTTAGACCCCAACAAACTCTTTAGGGATGTCTAAATATTAGTTTCCTTAAATAAAACCTAAATTCTGCTACAGAATGGAGTCAGTAGTTCCTAGAAGCATTTGTAGATCAATTTAATTTAATCAGATGTGACAGTCTGTGAAAATGAATAACACACCACATGCTTTCTGCATTTTATAGCAACAGCAAAATTCCTTTGCAAAATCTATACAGGAAAAAGAAATGCAGCACCAACAGCCTCCAAGTTCAAGGGGTCATGGAGGATTCTTAAATTATTCTTCCTTACTGCTGGTCTCTGAAGGATTTGGAATATCAATTCATGTCATGAATTAGAATTTATGATACTCAGCCAGCAGAAGAGGTTTGGAAGTTCCTGAAAATTGCAGGGCTTTCTTACTAGCCCAGAAAAAACCAAATTGCAGGCGATTACCTTGGCCCAGTTTGATTGTCTGCAGTGCAAAATGTAAGAACAGCAGAGAACCAAGGGGGTTCCCTGCAGGTTTGCCCCGGATCTCCCCACCCCGGGGACAGGGGGGCACAGAATGGGCTGGAAGGGAGGGGGAGACCAGGAGGGGGGGCTTGTGCCTGCTCAGGAGCTCTGCTTTGGCTGTTCAGAGGGAACAGGGTCGTTTTGGGGCCGTCAGAGCAGGAATGGGAGCTCTGGGGATGGTGGAGCCTGGTGGGGTTTGGACCCTTGTGCAGAGGGATCAGGGTTCCAGGGCACTGACTCTGCTCCAGGTGACAGCACAGCCACTGTGACCTGGGAGCTCTTGGCAGTTTTGGGGATACAATTCCATGCATTATTCCTGGGCTGAGCTCCCCCACCCTCTGTTTCCAGCTTTAGAACCTTGTCTCTTCACTCCAATGAAGATATTTGATTTATTCCACGTCCTGTTCTGCTGCAGGTGGGGCTGCAGTGACCTCAGCCAGCCCTTTCTGAAGTCACACTGGCTGAGTTTCCAAGAATTGATCATTTTAATTCTTCCCCCACGACTGTGATGTTTCCCTGATTCATCTGTGAGTCACAGACAAGGTGTGGGCAATGCACAAAAACTGCAGGGCTCTCGAGGTGGTTTGTGCCACAGATAATTCCTGCCTTTGAGGGGCCTTTGGCTGATGCTGGCAGGTCTTGGCAGGGAGAGGAAGCAAAGAGCAGGACTCTGTTTGAATGGAATTTTCCAGGAGGTGTTTTCTAGCACATGGAAGTCCCAGGATGAAATATTTTTGTGACATCCAACAGTAAAATGTTGTAGAAATTACTAGAATTGCATCTTAATTGAAAGAAAAACCAGAATACTCCTCTGAGTGATGACAACTATGATGCTCTTGCCCCGCTGTCTCAGGAATCATCAGCTCTGTCAGAGGCACAAGCCTTTGCTGAGGGCACAGTCCTGTCCTGGGAGGTAAATGATGTGATGGCTGAGACCAACCAGCAGGTTTGGAGAGGTTTGGTACCTCTAAATAAGTGTTGAACTGTATGAGCCACCAACCAAATGCTCTGCCTGCAGATGGGCAGCTTGGCAGGAGTTGTTCTGAACAGAACAAGGGGAACACAAAGCACCTGGTGTTCAGGGGGTGATAGAAGGAGTCTGCAAAGCTGCAGCTGTGCCTGCTGGTTTGGCCTGCTGGCAGGGCAGCACCAGCAGAGTGGCAGAGCTGCTTCTCTTTGCCTCCTGCTTCCTCAGAAGGCTCTTGGGCTGTGTGTCCCTCAGCCAGAACACTCCTGAGCACTCACTGTGAGCTCAGCTGCCTCTGGATAAGCCACGGACAGTTCACCCCTCCCCAGTTCTGCACAGCTGGGTCTTCCCTGAGCTGCAGGAAGGGGTTTAACTCCTTCCAGTTCCACCACGTTAAGGGGCTCACCGACACTGAGGCCCCACAGGTATCACCCAGTGTTTTGTGTCCCACCTGGGCAAGTCCTGCTGCAGTCTGGGCTTTACTTCCACTGGTTTTTGGGCCAGGCTGGCAGTGCCAAAGCCACTCTGGACCCCAGACACAACCTCTTGAGGAGGTGGTGGAGGGAAGCTGGAGCCCTTCAGTGTCCCAGCTGGGTGTGTGCCATGGCAGAAGAGGCTTCTGCTGTTTGCTTTCCAGGCTTTACCCCAACAGAGATGGGCAAAGCCCTGTCAGGACCACGGGAATCCATCTTTTGAGGTTGTCCTGCATAGGATAAAGCCCAGGTTATAACACAAGGCTGCTAGAGAGAGGGGGAACCTTCTGAAAGCCTCCTGTGCCTGTCACCTTAAGTGCAGCCAAAATCAAGCCCTGACTCACTTTTTAACCACAGTGCCTTCTCTTCTTCTCTCTTTGGTCTCTGAAGCCAGCACCAGCCCCACGGCAGGCCTGGGCACTGCTGCCATCATTGGCATCCTGGTCGTGGTGTTCGTGGCACTGCTGGTGGCCGTGGACGTCACCTGCTACTTCCTCAACAAGTGTGGGCTCCTCATGTGCATCGCGGTCAACATGTGCGGCAAATCCGGCCCCGGGGCCAAGGGCAAGGACATGGAGGAGGGAAAAGCCGCCTTCTCGTGAGTACTGCCACTGCTCCTGTCCCCCTTCTCGTGAGTACTGCCCCTGCCACTGCTCCTGTTCCCTTTCTTGTGAGTACTGCCCCTGCCACCACTCCTGTTCCCAGCAGCTGCAGGAGGAGGAGCTGTCCCAGTGGGCCGGGAGTTCCTCAGCTCTGATGGGAGGGTGCTGGGGAGGTCTGGGGTTCTTTGTGCTTCCAGGAAGGTGTTTCTGCAGTTGTTGCCCTGGTTTTGTCTCGTTCCTGTTGGTGGCCATCGGATAGGTGGCCCAGTGGACATCCCAGTGCTGGACGTGCCGCTGGAGTTCTGTGCCGTGGGGAAGGAGAAGTGACCCCAAGGAGTGCCCCGTGTTTAGCCCAGGGTGTCTCTCACTCACTGTGGGCGTTCGCAGCGTGTCTTTGCAGGAGGATTCCTGTGAGTGGGCTCCAACCTCGGTGCAATTCCTTCCCTGCAGGAAAGATGAGTCCAAGGAGCCCATCGTGGAGGTGCGGACGGAGGAGGAGCGGACCCCCAACCACGACGGGGGCAAACACACGGAGCCCAACGAGACCACCCCGCTGACAGAGCCAGAGTATGTTGGCATTAGCCAGTCCTAGCACAGGGGCACTGCAGTGCCCTCAGCTGCCCCGATCTCACCATCAAGGTCTCCCGTGAGCACAACTTAGGGCAGGAAGAGAGGAAGAAAGGTAAAACCTCCACCTGCCGTTGGTGACGTGCCAGTGAGGAAGTGCCTCCTCTCAAGATTCAGTGACTCCTATTCCCAGCACTGGAATGGAGCAGAGTGTCCTCAAAGGCCTGTCTGTGCCAGCCCTGCCCGGTGTGGAGACCAAAGACCTGCCCAGGTTCACTGCAGAGGATCCAGAGCAGAGTCAGCCTCGGCTGGCAGCGAGTGCTGTGTGAGCCGTGCCCAGCAGTGCTGGAGGAGAGCCTGAACCCCCTGAGAGCACCCTCTGAGAGCAGCAGAGGAG